TAGGGTGGATGGATGAGTGATTTATGCTATGTTATCAGTATTATCTTATGTTACATTATTTATATACGTTGTGTTGTTATTTTATGTTTTCAGGGGATGTACATTAGGGCTGCACCAAATACTTGCAGGCATAAATACCTGGATTGATAGTGCTATTTTGGAGGGCATGTGTGTTGATGTGTTTAAAAAGCCCCTTCCCCCACCTCAGACAGATCTTTTTCATTTTTGTTCCTTGCCATCTGCAGGACTGCCCCTAAAACAGGTGGCAGGGGCCCCTTTGAATGTTGATTATTACATTTGTATCCTATTCCATGACTTCTAGACATGATTTATCCCTAACATCTAAGACAATGTTCAAACACTGCACCTGCACCACGGCATCTAGCAGCATGTGCTGGTGTGAACCAATGCCATTGCTATGTTGCTGTGAGCCACCAATACCTTAGCTCTTCCTTTTCCTTATTCCCTCTCTCCTCCCGATTGCCCTGACTCTTAAAGATATAGGGCCCTTTTCCAGTTCAGATGGCATCAATCCCCAACCTTCCCATAGTTTCATGTGAGAAACTTATAAAGAAGTTTCAGGTGTTGTGAATTCGGCGTGGGCGTCGTTAGGTCTTGATGTTGCTATTCCTTCTCATTGGAAGCTGTTCCTTAATATTAGTTCAAGATCCAATTCCTCAGCCACACAAATTAGATTAATAAAGTGTATTTGCAAAAAGTATCAAAGGTTAACATAGCAATTTAGATTAATGAAAATCTTAAGCGGCAATGCCTACACTAAAGCGTGACCTATGCCATAATGAAATCATCACTGTCAGAAGACGACTTTTAAATGAAAGCTGCACGGAGATTTCATTCTCCTCTCCTCATAGTTTCAGTTACTAGGCTAGAACAAATGTTCAGGGTTACAGTACCCCTATATTCTGAGTTATTACCCTCCGAGTCTTTCTATTCGGATGCTGTGTTCTTTGCCATCATGAAACTCGCCAGATGCAGGTTTGATGGTGATCCTGCGAGGGTCCCTTATCCCGGTAGAGACGTGCACTTCTAGTCGACCACTGTTCAGGAACACAGCATAATAGGCCTGCAATAGGAACCAGCATTTTAAAGGAAGCCCTTAACGCCTTTGTGTATTTATAAGATCATTCCCAAACAACGTGCCACACCCTCCCTGTATGGCAGAAAAGAACACTTTCATCCTTTCAGCTTCCATTTATTTTATTACGGATGAACCATAAACATGTCAAATCTTAGCCATGACTGACAGTGGCCTGAAATTATCACAGATTTCTAAAATGTAGTACAGCGGTACCTCGGTTCTCAAACGTAATCAGTTCCAGAAGACTGTTTGAGTTCCAAAATGTTCGAAAACCAAGGCGCAAAGGGCTGTCCGCAAATTCAATTGAGAAAACTGAAAAACATGCAGCGGAAACCATTCGACTTCCAAGGCATGCTTGAGAATGGAAGCATTTCACTGTTTGGGTTCCAAAATGTTTGTCAACAGAGTCGTTCAAGAACTGAGGTACCACTGTACAGTGAGATGATGGTTGCTGCAGTCTAAAAGAGCTGGAGGACTACCCTTGCACTGCCTGATCAGTGGCAAGTGATTGTTAAGTAAATGGGAAAACAGTTTTCACAGAAACCGTGAAATGAACCAAAACATTGTCCTGTAGGTATTGTATAGTACATTAAGTGTTTCCTGCTATGTCTCTATTTAGTTCACAGGGGCGGAAACCATAGAAGAGCAGCATTATGGACATATCAAGAGGAATAACGATACATCTGTGGTAGGGTACATGACCCATGGTCTAGGTCATGGGTCACCTGCAGGTGCCATGGCACCCATGAAGGCTTACAGTGGTGGCCCTGGGTAGGGCGCTGTGGTCTAAACCACAGAGCCTAGGGCTTGCCAATCAGAAGGTCGGCAGTTCGAATCCCCGTGACGGGGTGAGCTCCTGTTGCTCAGTCCCAGCTCCTGCCAACCTAGCAGTTCAAAAGCACGGCAAAGTGCAAGCAGATTAATAGGTACCACTCCAGTGGGAAGGTAAACAGCATTTCCGTGTGCTGCTCTGGTTCGCATGACCCAGAAGCTGTACACCGGCTCCCTTGGCCAGTAAAGCGAGATGAGCACCGCAACACCAGAGTCGTCCGTGACTGGACCTAATTGTCAGGGGTCCCTTTACCTTTAAACTCTGCAGGTACCTAATAAGTGATGTGTGAAATGAGAATGGCATGGGCGGAATTTAGCTAACCAGCAGAAACCCTGTGCAGGGTCTTCCACTTGCCCGACAGAGTTTTCATTTTTCTGCAAATCCTCAAAATTGGCTCAGGGTGGAGGCGATTATCTCTCATAATTTTGTGTTATGCCACACATTCCTCCATGACAGCTATTTTGTAATTGTCTCCTCCAACACTCTCTCAGCTTTCAAAATGTGCCCACTAGTCCAAAATGTTTGGGAGCCCCTTGTCTAGGTGCACCAAATGGACCAAACGTCTGATATGTCAGCTTAATGAGATCCCTTCCCCTTCAAACTTTGATAGGAACAACTTTCAAGGAAATGTTCTGAATCTCCAACTTATTTCCCTTCCCACACAACATAAAGACAAAATAGTCCCTGCAGTGCAGGAGCTGAACAATATCTTTGGCCAATGAAGATGCGGCAAACAAGCAACCCAGTTTCTGGTATCATCCTGTACCTGCCCAGTCTGCCTGCGCTTTCTCCGTGGGGGTACAGGCGCCCCACTAGTACCAAAGAGTATGATGCCAGATTCATTTCTGGTGCTGAAGGACAAGTGGATTTCTGTTCCCACATTGAGCGAGACTGGTGGCAGCTCCACAAAGCCCGGTTTCGGGAAGCTGACTGTGTAGATATTCTGCAGAAAAGAAGGGACTGAATGAGTTTGACCCAGAAGAGGAAAACTTTCTTGCAATAATAAACAGCTCAGCAGTTTACATTCAAAGTGCTGTGCAAACATTTGTCCATCTGTTAAATCACCCAATATCAGAAAACATTTGGAAAAGTAGATTCAGCTAAAAAGAGCTGCACAGTCCAGTCTTGTTCCAGCATTGTTATTATTTTGAGGCTTTGTACACAACACGGACTATTCTGAGATCTGCAAGTACTCCTAACCAAATACATTTCCTAATATTCTTTTTCTTTGGGAGGGGGGTTGGTTTTTAAGTATGACGTGTGTGCATCCTGAGTCATGGAAGTCAGTTTGACAGGGAGCCAAAATTTTGGGGTCACATGGTGATGAAGCTAGTCATGGCTAGGGTCGACAAGTTGCAAGTCAGAGAGCACAGTACCTTCAAAACCCCCAGTGCAGAGAGATATGTGGGTTCTGCAGCCTCTTCCCCACTTCCTCATCTTACCACTTGCCCTCTTTCCCAACTGGCTGCTGTGAGTACGATTCCAAAGGGCCACATGTGCCGGACCGAGGAAAGAACAAGGAGAAAAACCCCCAAGGCTGCCTTCAGGGAGGATTTCCAAGAGATACCACAGGTCTCTGGGTTGCAGCCTGTTCACCCCAATCATGGAAGTTGAACTGCAAATAGCCTCTAGGTCTTGAAACTAAAACAAGTTGTTGTTTTTAATCACAACCATTTTCAAGACAGTTCCCTGCTTGTTAAAACACTGGTGAGAACTTGTCAATATGCAGAGAACTTTCTTGGAATTAAGTCACATGCACAAAACCTTCCTGATGGTTACTGGTGATGGGAGTGGCCCAGCAGAAGATCTTCCACAATTCCAAAATGTAATATTAATGTATTTATTTACTGAATTATTCACTTGCTGCCTTTTTGGACGCAGCCTAAAAATAATCCATTTTAATTCATTAATATACTTTCCCAGCCCTTCCTTGCCCCACTGGTATGTGACGTGGATTCTGCTTCACACACTTTATGGTTATTTTTACCTGCCTTGTCCCCACAGTGTGGTTGCTTGCACTTTAAAATGAATCCGCTCATACATTAGGCTCCACTGTTTGTCATTGCCTTCCTATCTGGGCTAAGCACTTCAGCTCGTCTCCTGAATCCAACTCATAAATAAGGCATGTACTGCCCATGGCTCTACAGCTCTCACACTGGGAGATATTAAGGATGAACTGAAGAGGGGCTGTATGTCGCAGAATATTGAATCTTATTTTTAAAAAACATGAGATTGCTTAAGGACCGCTTGTACATACAGCATTATGATGATATTCAGGATTAATTCTGACCACAGTCTGCTAAGGACTACTTTTGTACAACTCACTGAAATGAAATGGTCTCATCTTGAAGATCAAAGAATAATAAATTCTAGACTTGGAAGGAACCCCAAGGGCCATCAACTTCAAGCCCCTGCAATGTAGGAATCACAGCTAAAGAATTCCTAACAGAAGGCTATTTAACCACTGTTTAAAAACCTCCAATTAAGGAGAGTCTGCCACCTTCCGAGATAGTTTGTTCCATTGTTGAACAGCTGTTACTATCAGAAAGTTCTTCCTAATGTTTACTCTGAATCTCCTTTCTGTAATTTGGTTTGAGTCCTACCCTTTGAAGCAGCAGAAAACAAGCTTGCTCCATGTTTCAGTGATAGCTGTTCGGAAAGATGGATAATGAAGAGGACCACAAGTCAAATAGTGTTAGGCATTACGATAATCATGCAGAAGCAATTTTCCATGGGAATTGAATGACATGTTGTAGGTCCTCATTGCAACTCTGTAAGTCCCATACAAATAGGAGTGGCGGGAGGGGGGAGGGGAAGCAGTCACTTCCTCCAAGCAAGATGGCAGTGGGGCAACTTTGTTAATGGAATTGTATGTCGCAGAATGAAGAAGAAGAAGAAGAAGAAGAGTCTGGATTTGATATCCCGCTTTATCACTACCCTAAGGCGTCTCAAAGTGGCTAACAATCTCCTTTCCCTTCATCCCCTACAACAAACACTCTGTGAAGTGAGTGAGGCTGAGAGACTTCAGAGAGAAGTGTGACTAGCCCAAGGTCACCCAGCAGCTGCATGTGGAGGAGCTGGGAAGCGAACCCAGTTCCCCAGATTACGAGTCTACCGCTCTTAACCATTGCACCACGCCGACCTCCTTCATCCTCAGGAATTTCCTTGCCAGAGCTGCTTGTTGATAAAACATGGAGCAATCATTTTAATATCATTGAAGGAAACATGGAAAGCAAACTAACCTCCAGTGTACAGCCTTTGGTAATGCCCACAAAGTCAGGACTGCTCAGAAGATTGTATGGCGTCCGAGAAATTTCAATATCCTTGATGCAGCCTGAGTATTTCTTTGTGTTTACTTCAGGCCTGCAAAAATAAGGTCAAAGCAGGTTTAGTCATGAGTAAAAACAGTCACAAAAGGGCTAAAACAGATTTCCATATTACTGTTTTAAACATTCTGACCACAATCCAGAGGATGTTAGTCACGTAGGTCACAAAACCTACAGATTTCAATGGGAATAATAATAATAATAATAATTAATGAGAGCACAGTCCAGAATATTAAAATGCTAAACATTCTACCAGAAGAATAAAGTTATCAATGACTAACTTCCCCTGGATTTCAGCCTTTTACATAAATTCTGCTTCTCGTCATTTACCAAAGATACAGACCTTTTCCCTACTTCTGCATTTAATGTCACTGTTATCTCTGTGTAAAATGTAGCAGGATGACAAAATAATAGGTTATTCTCCAAGAAGTGTAGAAAGATAAAGGTTAGAAAACTTTTTGACAGTTTGCCTATTTACATGAAGTATTTTCTTTAGACATGTGGAAGAAGTAACATATGAGCCACGTGCCCAATTATTTAGGGCTCACATCACAAAAATGTTAGCAACCTACTGTGAATTCAAAGTTTCTCCTATGTTCGGGAATATAGCAGAGGCGAGGGACTTTTGTCCCAGAAAATGGTGCTGGAGCACAACTTATTTTCACCAGCACAGTCATGGTTGATGAGATGATTTCTGCTTTGCAGAGGGTTGGACTAGATGACCCTTTTGGGTCCCCCTCCAACTCTACAATTCTATGATTCTATCACTTGAATACCCACAGCCTGAGTTTTGTGATCTGCCAGAAGGGCAGCAGAAGGATAGTGTTAGTATCTCTCAGAAGCCTTTATACTGAGCACCAAACCAGGAGCAGTTTTGTTTGAATGTTTATCATATTCACGCATCACTCCTCTGGCTTAGAAAAGCTGCTTCATAAATGTTGATTTTTCCTGAAACAGCAGCCTTCCTGAAGCAGCAGCAACTGCAGTTAACCCTCTGATCCATGTTAACGTCGATGGAAAGAAAGACTGAGCCTCTTGAGATGTGGATACAATCTGGCCAATTGACCAGATCAGACAAGTAAAATACTCGCATGAAAATAATACAAAACATTAGTATTAAATAAGGTAAAAAACAATTCACAGTTCATAGAATTAGAAAGCCCAGTTCATATACCCATATATGTATGTGCATATATGCACATGCACAAAAATATATCTACGATCTTAATTTAAAAACATTATAATATAGAATATCAACAACTTGGATGTCCCCCAATAGCTTTTTCCTGCTGTGGAATTTTTATTTTTTATTTTTGCATTTTGTAGCCATCTCAGCAAAGCATAGCATGTCTATTTCAAAAGCTGCAAGTACTTTAGAGTTCATACCAAAAAAAGAAACAAAAGAAAATCTCAATTCTATGTTACTGCTAGTTGAAGGTTCTAAAGTCTCCCTGTGGGCACCAACAGAGCTTCAGAAAGTTCTGAGAAAGGCAAACACAATTTCTTTCCAACTTTGAAATTTTTTCTATGTTTCATCTCCTACATTTTCTTCACGCACTGATCCACAGCAGCAGAGCTTTTCTGCAGCCTAACAACCTGTAATTCCATCTGTCTCACCAAGCAAATTTTGCCAGAGTTTCATAGCCACTGAGGCTCAAACTACATGTTAATCAAAGTTCTCTCTCTCCCACCTCAGTTTTTCTTATGCTATAGCAGGCTGGGGAGGGTTGTGTCTGAGCACACAGATGTGCTGAAAAAGGGTACTTAAACCTTTCAACGCTCCTGACATTTCACAGCTAAAAATGACCCTCACCAAGATATTTGTTTCAAGAGAAAGTTATGGAAAAGATTTATCTGCATCTTCTTTCACATGCATTCTCTCTCTCTCTCTCTCTCTCTCTCTCTCACACACACACACACACACACCCTTTGAGCCTCAAGAACCATCTAATTTTCCCAACACCACTTGAATGCAGTTTTACATAACAACAGCAGTGTGAGACTCTACCTCACTGGGCAACCTTCAGGTACACAGACTTTAATTCCGGGGCTGCCAAAAGTATCTCCAAAAGGATATAATTTACTTCTGTATAAGAGCTATGATATGCTTTAACTTAAATTCAATTTTTAACATTGCATGAACCCATCTGTGGGATCCCTCTTTATTAGATGCACCTGAGGAAATAATTCTAGTTGTCTAGACAATGTGCAAAATATGGAGGCTGAGGTTTGCTTTTTATAATTTAGCGGAAGATAAGCAGGGTTTCCAGGCTCATCAAGAGAGACTAACCCAAAATGAATATATGTCCCAATCAAATTTTGGTTGTACTGGGAGATGGTGCTAAATGTTTGGGGAATGGATGGTTAAAGTTTCAGTTGTGTTTTCTTTAAGATTTTTTTTTCTTTTTTTTTTTACTTGCATATATACAAGCTGGTAAACTTTCATTTTGCTTTCTTTTGTCCTTTTAAGAAGTAAGCCAAGCCAAGATTACATGGTCACAGAATACTGTTGCCATGAGGCAGTCTGGCCCATATTTGTATAGAAAAGGCAGCCTGTCTGCCAAGATTTTCTCACTAAAACATCACTTGCCTTGGGGGCTGGTGTGGGTTGGCTTTCTTCTTAAGAGGGAGATGAAGAGGAAAAAGAAAGAAAGCCCTTACCACCTTGTAAAATGTAAATAAAAATACCCCACATCTAAAATCGTGGAGACTGTTGCACGCCCCTCAGAAAGTTCTGTCCCCCTTTCATCACCTTTGGGAAGACTTTGGGTTCAGGCTTTAGTTAGGAAAGCTATGTGGGGGTATCCAAGTACAATGGCAGTGCACCTATGAATATTAGTTTTCTGGGGCAAGCCAAAGGCTATCACCCTTGCACTCTGCTTATGGTAGAGATTATTTTGCTGGCAGATTGCTGGCCTACAGAGACTTGATCCAATAAGACAATTCTTATGTTCCTGAACATATACAGAAAACATATATGCCAGAAAGAGCCTGCATTGCACAGAGAGGTTGGAGAGTCAAGTGTCCCTCCCTGCAATTTGCTGAGAAAATAAACAATCTCTTGTGATTGACACTCCATTCTCACGGATTTCTGCACGTGTTCCATCACTAATTTGCTCTGTGCTGAACAGAAACTCTTAACTGCTTTTTATTTTTTTAAAAAAATACAGCTTGTACTTCTGATATAATTAATTTTTAAAAGGAAAAAAAAAAAGGAAAAGAAAACCCAACACAGCAAGATATAAACAGCTGTGTGAAGATGCTAGGCTAAGTGTTTGTTGCTGCAAGTGTGTGCGCAGCATGCGGCAAGGCTGTGTTAAGCACTGAGGAGCAGCTTGATTTGCTGCAGCAGGATCCATTGCCAAATGAACAGCCCCAGAGCAACAGCTGGAACAGATACAGACACAAATTGCTTTTTGCTTCGCCACCTGTTGCAAGCTGCGCTTAACCCATGCAGAGCGCGAGGCATGCAAGTATTGCTTGAAATTTGACGGTTTTTTTTTTTACCTGGATTTCATACTAGGATAAAAATGAACAGAGAAAGAGAGAGAGGAAGAAAAAAAAAATACAATTTTGTTTATTATTTGCAATTATAACATTTATAACAAACCAAATTCTTATAATGATACAGACTGTTCAGTCTGCTTAAGATTCAAGCCACTTTCTTTAAAATATACACCCATGGCTTTTAACAAACCACCCACTGCCCTTCTGTAAGACTTGCTTGCTGGGAAGCAATTGACCCAGAAATCCTCAGATTGTTTCAAAAATTAGCCAACTGACCACCACCTTTCTCTGCAGCCCCACACGATGTCTGTAAATAGCAGAAGTTCTAACCAAGAAAGTCAAGTATGTTAGGCTGGAGGAGCTTCCACCAACCTTAAGCCCACCCCCTAATTCCTGGACTACCTTCTCTATAGAGGGGGAAGACCCCTAGACCTGCTGGTGAAGGGAAGAGGACAGGGCACAGACAAGATCCCTCACTGAGGGTAAGGCATTAAGAACGGCTTGTTGCAAATCCAGCAGTAGCTGATGGGCTCTCCCACTTTTCAGGCCTGCAATATCAACTGGCAGTTTTGACCATCACTTGTGTGAGGCCACTGCACCCTAGGAACCTTTGGGAGAGAGCAAACATTGCCAGCAATCGCTGGGTCCTTCTGGATCGAAGGAGATAGCTAGTTGGGGAGGTCCATGGAAAATCTTCCATCATCTTTAAGTTGCACCCTCCTTCAATACAGTGGTACCTTGGGTTAACAACACCTCAGGTTACAAACACTTCAGGTTACAGACTCCGCTAACCCGGAAGTAGGACCTCAGGTTAAGAACTTTACCTCAGGATAAGAGCAGAAATCATGCGCCAGCAGCGGGAGGCCCCATTAGCTAAAGTGCTACCTCAGGTTAAGAATGGTTTCAGGTTAAGAATGGACCTCTGGAACGAATTTAGCTCGTAACCAGAGGTACCACTGTATCATTCTCCTTCCTACCAGCTGTTTCTCCACCAGTTCCCATATAATGCATTTTCGTATGTTATTTTCAGTAATATATGCACCTGTATGCACATTTTGTCCTAGGTATAAGCATTTTTGTATGCATTAGTTGGCTGGAGAAGCCCCCTGCAAAATTCAGGTAAGTGTGAATTTCAGTGGTTGGCTGTGTTTTGGTTCGTGTATTGTTTCAGAATAGGGTATGTGGCATAAGTATCCTTTTTGTGTGCAATCCTTTCATGAATCCTTAAGAAAAGGTTTAGAGAACAATTGCTGTTCCTGAATTCCTTTAGTTGACTATGTGCTAAGTGCCATTACCTTAGGTTTCGTCTCAGTGTTGGCAATCCACCAAAATAGATGGGCTCGTCGGCTTTCAAGTTGAGGCCAAAGTGCTTCCCTGTAGCAATTGTTGTGATGATCTCTTCCTGGTTGGAGTCTATGTCTACAATTGATACATTAGCTGAGAAAATATAAGAAGAAAAATTAAATAGGGCTTTGAGCTACAGAAGAATTTTCAAATGTTTATAACTACTTCTTCCTTTCTTGAGCAAACACACTTGTCCACACCCTCTTTTCAATTAAGAGAGGGAAAAGTATGACCAGGTACATTCTGATTATACCAGTGATTGGTTTTTGAATAGCCTTTTCTAGCTGAATGGCACATAACTGCTTGCTAGGAGGAAGAAAAGAGAAACCACTAAGGGTAAAAAAGCAGAACACAGTTGAAGAAGAACAACAAAAAAGCAAGCATGGAAATTAAAAATGCAAAGGGGGGGGGGAAATGGATGTGTCAGACCCCCCAAAAAGTTCAGAATTATTAAAACAGACAGTTCATTGGGAAAGATTCCCCCCTGTACCCTCAGCTATAGCCCCAAGCTTAATTATCCCTATTTTATCATGTTGACTGATTGGGAAAATATTTTTGAGAATGTACAAACTGGAATATCCATCAAAACCAAAAGAGCAATAAAATATGTAATACCACCAATGTGATCAGGATTTTATTCTAGTCACTTTGCTTAAACGGGTTGTGACCCTTCCACGACTGCAGAGTATTTATTTTGGCAGGGACAAAACTGCAAAAGTTTACCTTGGTGAACATACACAGAGAAGTTTCTGGATTTCAGGGTTCAGCAAGACAGCATGAATCAACTGGAGCCAAAGATTGTTTCAGCTCAGCTTTCTTATTTCAAACAGAGATGTATGAAATTCTTATAGGCTTGATTAGACATCCTATAGATATTTTGCCTTTGGAAATATTCTCATTGCATTTTTATTTTAAGTTGAATTCGGCAGCAACGTTAGCAGTCATGTAAATTAAAGTTGCCTGTCATTTATGGGGAATCTTTTTCTCCTTGCAGTACAAAGGGCTGTGACAATGTGCAAAAAGGGCCCATTGTGTATCGTAGACAGATATACTGTGCCATCAGTATTTTAACTCTCCACATTTTGAAAGCAATTTGATAGATTTAAGTTATGAAAGGCACCATGAAGTACAAAACCCAATTTACATTCTAACAAAAATAGTGTAGGTTTGTTTTATGAACTCTGAACAACATCAGGGGACTGCATGAAAAAAACATTTTTCACTCAGATGCATTTTGGAGTGTAATTTAGGTAGCTGTAAGGCAGAATTATGCCTGAAAAATTAAGCTACCATTTTCAAAAGAAAATCATAAGAGACCTGTTTGACACTGCAATCAGTCACAGCTAACCTGAGCCATCTGTAATTTAAGCAAAAGAAGTTGCTAAATCACTTTCTTTTACAACTTTCTAAACCCAGCAATTTTGTACATCATCTTCTCCATGATTAGATAGTTAGCTATGCTGGATAAGATAATTAGGACGTTTATGATGTTATCACTGCAGGAACTCACCTTGTTTTAGAATTCTTGACAAGGTGAATGATTTCCATTTCCCGTCATTGTGGTTCTGGTTGCCAACAACAGAAGCTGTTCCTGAACCGAGATCATAACTGACTTTAATACGCCCATCACTGAGCTCTATGCTCATGAAATCTTTCTGTTAATGAGAAGCATTAGAAACTTTATTAACTTTATTTAGTCCTATGCCCAGTTTTTTGAAAGTAAGCCCCACTGACCTCAATGAGACTTACTTCTGAGTAAACATGTAGTCTGATGATTGCACTGTGAGATTTTGAAAGACAGCTGATTTTCTGATGAAAGTAATCTCAAATAGTGACTAGCCCCCCTTCCCAACAATATCTAAGATTATTTTTCTGCCATTTCTTAATAGAGGTTTAGTTCAAAGAAGGCATCATAGGTGAAGTTAATTTGTTGCCGCCTTAGTTCCTAAGAAGGTAAATGAATAAAGTGGAAATATGTTGCTCTTTAATTTCCAACCAGGCAGTAAATTATTGTGAACGGCAAGGTGGAGTCGCTTGCATTCATCACTGCAACACAGATCTTGATAACATTAAAAAATGATCTGAAAAATAATAAATAACCTCCGACTCAAGTCTCCAAATTAATATTCTTCTTACAGGATTTTGTGGCAGAAAGAAAGAAAAAAGCTGAAAAAGACCAGTGTGCCTTCATACATGCTTGGTTAACTTAGGTGTCTCTTTGTATCACTGCCACAGCATTCCATGGGCTGCTTGCCTGTTTTTGCAAACACTACCACCCTCTACGTATGTGTTGCTGGTAATGTCCACATTTGGTAAATAGCAATATTCTGACAACCCCATAACAAGTAAATGCTAGTGATCACACTTTAAGTGACTGACTGCATTTGCCAGTGCATATTGGAATTTCAGACATTCACAAATATCTCTAGAACTGTCAAAATTCTCATTATATTTGCCAATAACTGACACATTTCAGACATGCAGTATAATCTATACAGAACTTCTTGCCATCTGTTTATTACAGCTGGTTCCATTTCTAAGGGAAGAACTAGGACAATGACAAGTTAGTTTGCAGTTAAAATTCCTATAATTAGATTATCACCTAATGGATAGATCCCTATGAGACTGTTTCCTTTATCACCTGAGAACATGTTACAGTTCTCTATGGGAACTGGGAGGTCTGTGTAGACTTCATACATCTAATATCTAGCCACCCCTCTCTGTACTAATGTCTGATCGGCAGTGATTCTGAAGGAGTTTCACAGTTCTGTTGACAGCAGCAATGTCAAGTGAAACTCTGTCGGAGTGCAGCTTGTAGTCTTGTTCCAGCAGTAAGTTCCAGTTGACTAGAACAGGCCTTTGTTTTGAGCAGGCATCCCCAAATTCGGCCCTCCAGCTGTTTTGGGACTACAATTCCCGTCATCCCTGACCACTGGTCCTGCTAGCTAGGGATGTTGGGAGTTGTAGTCCCAAAACAGCTGGAGGGCTGAGTTTGGGGATGCCTGGTTTTGAGCTAATCCTACCACCCCAAAAAATTATATTGGTGCACAAAGCAACTCATGTGCAAGGGCTGATTATTTCAAATGAGGATGCAGGTGCACTGGCTATGCATTTCTACGCATGATCTGTTCTATACAGACATATTAATTAGGCAGCCCAGGCATGGGTTTAAGTCAGAGGTGAGAAATCCACCCCAGACATTGTTGGACTCCAGTTCTCATCAGTCCAGCCAGCACAGGCAATGAACAGGGTTGATGGTAAATTGAAGTCCAGCAACACCTGGAGGGTCACAGGTTCTCTAACTCTGATGTTAGATATGTCTACATACACCCAGAAGATGAGAACATTTATACCATTTACTTGAGATTGAGATCTCAAGTAGCTTCCACAGTGCAGAGAAGGAGAAGTAGTTGAGGCACTGGAAGTGTACACTGACCTCCCAATCTCTGTAATGTTCTTGTAATGTCTGTGCATGGTAATAGGTAAGGAATAAGGATCTACCAAGCCTGGGAACCTGTGACCCTCCAGATGTTGTTGAACTCTAACGTCCATCAACCACTGCCAGCATGTCCAATGGACAGGGTTGATTGGAGTTGTAGTCTAGCAACATCTGGAGGACCACGGGTTTCCCCATCCTGCCCTATGCAAATCTATTAGTTTGCAGACATTATACCCACACATGGAGAAGGATGTCTACTTAAAAATGTATGTCCCACTTTCCTTTCCTTTACACCCAAGGAAGCTAACAAAAAACCAGATACAAAAGTAATTGTTAACAAAAGCAAAAGCATTCTGGTGAAATGTTTTTGATACCATGTTATGCCTAACTCTAACAGATAACAGGTAAAACCCAATAGCCATTATTGAGGAGTCTTTTGCCATACAACTTATTTTTTTTTTTTACAAATTATAAATTGTAAGAATAATCATTGTAATGATCTGCACAGAGCTCCGTGCAAAGCATTATACAAGCTGCTCGGTTATGTTCTTGCAAATCACACAGATTGACTATAAATGGCCTCACAGAAGTCATTAAACCCAGTGTCTTCACTTAAGTGACATTCATCACGAGTGTAAAAGCATGCATGTTAATCTCTTTACAAGGAACTGTGTAATTCATAATGTTAATGAAAGAAGCCAAGAAACATTTAGGCAAGCTTTACCAAGTCTATTGTAGCAAGGTACATCAGAAGAGCAGTGGAAGAAAATGTCTTGAACTTGAACATGACCATGGAGATATTTGGGTTCCATCTTATTGGACGGCTCACCAAAGCATAACCTTCTCCATCAAACTGAACAGTTCCTTCACCATCTGCCACCTGTGGGCTGAGGAGGAAAGGGAAATTTTCAAAATCTAAATCAGAACTTCCAGAACTGCTTTACATAGAAGCAACCATGAAAAAGCATTATCAGGGGCTGGCAACTATTTCACATAGACAAACCTTCTCAAAGCTGAAATGTTTTGTGCAGCTGCTGCAAGTAAAGAGCAGTGAAATCACCCCAGCATTCTGTAGAGATTAGCTGCACATTTAAGTTCCCTGTGTGGAACTCAGTTGCGCAGCTGATCAAGCTGGGTCTCAGCCTGTTCCACAGCAGACATCACATATGTAGGGCAGGTGGGCATTGCTTGGGGGAAAGAATCCCACAGGCCAAATTGGACCTGTGCTGGGTCAAATCTGGCCCACACGCCGGAGGTTCCCAATCCCCACTATCTGTTTTCAAATCAATACTTTATGAAGAAGAAAAGAAGAGGAAGGAATTAGTCCTGTGTTGTATGCAAACTCTACAATTATCTTGTTTAGCATGTTGACCAGTCAATCAGACATGGATTGGATATGCATGAGCAGACTTTCACGAGCTTGGTTCCTATGCCAAAAAATCAAATTAGGTGGCTTCAAAATGTCATTTCCTATATGAAAATGGCCATATGAACCAGCTGTAATATATTTAGAGGTGATATTTAGAGAACCTTAATAGGTTTAACTTTTTAAAAGATATATCTTTAGCTTCCGACATCCATGCCTCATTTATAGTTGATAAGCACAGATTTGTATCTATGAAGCATATGTGGTTATTCATTTCTGTCTAGTAATTGGCATTTGTTATACTGAAACTGTTGAAGAGAAGCATGAAAACACAGGGGAGAATTTATTTAGGCAACTTGGTATTTAACAGAATTATGACTTTTTTTTGTTTAGGTAACCTGCACATCAATAGCAATAACATTGACAATATACAGCAAAATCTTACCTGACAGCACACCCTTTACACTCTCCTTCAATGTCTCTGAAATTCCATAGTCCTATTGGTTTGCTGTCTAAATAAGTCTCTCCCATACAGCCGGTGAAAGTAGTAACTCGTACAGCTTCAGATTTCTGGAAACAGAAAGCATCCAGACTGAGTTCTGAGCTCTTGGTTAATGGACAATGATATTGTGAATACATGGCCACTGGTTTATTAGGCAGATAGCATTTGCTTGTTCGAAAGTCCCCAAGTACTTTTTAGTCTTCAACTGATGTGGAAAAGTGGTTGAAATGGACCCAATCCTTTGTGTCCAGGAATGTACACTAATGCAAAAACAAGAAGTTTGCTAGTTTGCTGAATGAGGTCAGCTGTGTGGCTTCACATACTAGGATGCTAAACGGTGATGAAAGGAGGCGAGAGCAGGCTGATCTGCAGTCTTCTCCCAAAGCCATTCTAAGTGGATCTCACTATGGAGGCTGCTCTCCTTGTTGGTAATCTGTGGACTGGCCTCCTTCATCGCTTCATGGTTTCCCGGTCATTATAAAGTGTGCTCACAGTTGAACAGTCTCCTTTTGAACTCATTTAATAGTTGATGAAAGTCTGATATTTTGCTATACATCTGGTGGTTGTGAAAAACTTCATTGTTATAAATGTAGTTTCCATGAGATGAATCCTGGAGAATAACTGCTCATTACACCCTTTCCTTCCTACTGATAGTTGTCCGACTCAAACAAGCAGCTATGTGTTACCTGCTTGATTCAAGCCATGTGAAAGTTTCTCCAAGGGGAAAGCCATTTAGACAAGGAGTAGGGAACCTTTTCAGTCAAGGACCACATTTTCTCACTGGCAACCTTGTAGGGCCCATATGCCAGTGATGTGCAGGGCCAGGGAGGAAAGTGGGTGGAACAAGTTTGATTCTTAACATTGTACAGTAGGCCACATTCCATCCATACAAAAAAATAGAGGTTTCTGCACACACCTCTCCATCCTCCATACAGGCAATCCAAAGGCATTATCATCATTCAAGAACACATCCCTGCCAGGCCAAAACACATGAGAAGGGCATGGATCAGGGCTGTGAGGGGTGTGGCCTGGTGAGAATCCCAAGGGCCAGATAGAGGGGCCAGGGAGGTAGCACTCAGTCTCTGTGCCTGAGATTCTCTACTGCTTCTAAGCTCAGAGAATCCCAAAGCTCTTCCATACTATATGAGCAGATCCATTAGGTGATTTCTGCAAAGATAATGCTGCCAGTAGCAGATGATGTGGTTGGCTGGTGCTTCCCATTTCACTTCTGGCTGGTTCTGCTGCTGCTGCTTACCAGGAGGTAGATGGGGAGAGGGGGTGGCATGGTTAGCAAGGTGCAAATACTCTGGCAGAGCCAACCTAGAATTCCGACCAGTGCCTCTGCATTGCGCCGATCTTACCACTACCTTTTCCTTCTCCCTCTCCTTCCTGGTAAGCAGCAGCAACACAATTGACCAGTGGTCAGGTGAGTGGTGTGGTCCCATCACACCATCTGGTGAATGCTGCCTTAGAATGTCTGAAAGAGAAGCTGGGAACTTAACTAGGATTCACTGTTTAGCAGTCAGAGTAGACTCTTGACAAAGTTAAATTAATAAGTTGGGAGTGATTTATTACTATTATTATTATAATTATTATTCACAAGCCAGAAATATTAACATTTAAATTCCCCCCAAAATACTTGGCTAAGGTCATATGGACTGCTTTTAGAGTATTTGTTCCAAGAGGAACTTGTCCTTTTCTAAAGTATCCAATCTTCTTTTATGTTTCACTTCATCAATGTGAGCTAGTTTCAATTCCAGATATTTAGCAATCTAAGACACACAAGCACCTGCTACTTTTCATGAAGCAATTATGATTATTAAAAATATTAATGTGTGAGCATATGGAGAAGAGCAACTTGACTTTCAAAGTGAGGCATGACTTGAAAGTGTAACAACATGGGCGATCTGTTCCAAGGTCATTGTGAATATTTTAATTGGCACATTTGAGAACTTCATGATGAGTAGGCACTGCATTCTACTGGAGTAAAACTGAAAAAGCACATTGGAAGGGGGGGGGGAACAAGTCGAAAGAGGGAAGAAAAATAGATTTTTTTTTTAAAAAAATCCTAAAACGGGGAAATGGCAAGTACCATCTTACTATGGTTGCCAGAACTACACTGTATCTTTTGGGAGTTGGGCAGCTTCTTCTGCCCATTTGTCTCATGGACTATTTTTCTTTTAGGTGTAATGAACATTAACTCCAGGTGTGCCACACGGCAGATGACAGGACAGGGGGCAATGAGAGACAGAAGCCATGGCTGCCTCATCTCCTTTTGCATCAGGAAACTTAAAGGTACAGTGCAGATTTTTGTTTAAGAAGGTTTTTCCTTGAAGTAGAACCCCATAATTGTGGAAGTTCAATTTTATAACTGTTTTTGCTTCAATGGCTTTATTCTGTGAGACAGTTTATAAATTTATTATTAAAATAAACAATAAAATAAAATGTTGCACACAAAAATTATACAATTTGCTAGATCAGGCACAGAAATAACTCTAACTTTGCTAGAATGTAGTTCAGACACAGAAATAAGTAATTCTTTAAAGTATTTTTTTTCAGACTGATTGACAGTATCTTGATCGCTCTACATTGTCATTGTTTTTCAGTCTGACTGACAGACTGGATGCAGAGCTGCTTGGGAGATACCTGCATAGCCTGTCAAACATCTTTCCA